GTTGCATGAAAGCTCAGACCCGCATCTGCCATTTTGCGCTTTCTCCGAAGCCGCATGGCATCCTCTGAGCCAGACTCTTCGCAAGCTTCCCAGGTCAAATCCGGGATGGACGACATTTGACTTGGTCCCTGCGAGGACCCCGTCATGGCTTCACTTCAGCTTCTCAAGCCAGTTCTGTGAGTTGTCTCGAGAAGTGATGCAGACAATTTACAGTTATGCACGTGGGACAATGCATGAAACCGAGACGCGCTGTGAACTTGCTGCATGGAAATGGCAATGAGCAATTTGGGCTTTCAAACTCGTCGGAGCTCGAATTAACACTGAGTCACGTATGCGCATGCACGCACGAATTACACCGGTAAGCAAAAGAAAAAAAGGAAACGCTTTCGTGTGTGTGTGAGGTTAGCATGTCATTGCCAAGCTGATGATAGGCAAAACCCAAACATGACATGACATGGCTAAGGACATGGCGACGGTAGCAAGCGCGCTGTACGTGTCCGGGTCGAGAAAGCCTGCTGCAGTGCAGTCGCTTTTTGACGCGGAGACCAAGTCTAAGTCTGGGTGCTTTGTGACCTAGCCAACGTCAGGTTGCCCAGAGCAGCAGTAAAATGTCACACAATCATGTTCTCCGCAAGTGCTCACACAGAATTGCTGATTTTGACCGCGAATTCCAGGGTGCACGAGGCGACGGGAATCGGAGTCTTCAAACTGAAGCTGCGGGCGACAGAAATGCAATTCGTGTGTGTGATATCTTAAGTTTTTCTGTGGAAAGGTTCCCTGTCGGTAGAAGCCGAAAAAACCTGTACAAGAGAGTGCTAATTTGGTCTGCTGTTCGCAACGTGCCCTGCGCTCACGGTCCACGACACCCGCCTTGCTTTTGCTACTGCGATCTCTGCGCCGTAAGGTCACTGGCCGATGGCGTGATCGCCAGAACCGTCCCGCAAACAGGACTGTCAGGCAAGGGCCAGGAACAGGACGCTTCCACAACATTATACTTTCCCGTCGGATTCTTGCGGATCTTGCACTCGCACACCGTGAGCCCCCGTGCCTCGAGCTTGTGCTTGAAGTTCTCCGGGAGCATTGCGAGGTTCAGCGCGTTGTCGACGTAGCCAACAGACACCCGCGTGCCACAGTAGCCGCGCCCCGCCGCAGAACGCAGTTTCTCTAGTATCTCCTTCTCGCAACTCTCGAACCATATCTCGAAGGCGCCACCCAATAGACCAAAGAAGTCAGAAAAGTTTACTATGCCTACGTGGGCAAAATCTAACTACAGCGGCAAATTTTAACTATGCAGCGGCACTTTGTTTTTTAACTTTGCATTTTGCCTTTTGACTTTGCAACTTGACTTCGTAGGCAAAGTTAGTTTGTATCATTTTTACTTCGTGGGCAAACATGAGTTGACTTCGTGGGCAAAAGTTTACCGCGAAGTCAAAACGAAACAGAGGAAGTTTCCACTAAACTTCCCTTAAACTGCCGGGGCCGGCCGGGGCCGAAGAGCAGTTTCTCCACAGAAACTTCCTCACTCGTTTTGGCAAACTTCCTCTGTTTTTTTGTTGGGTTTGTAGCTAAATCGCACACAGCAAGTTTGCTAAAATAGAAGTACATCACTGTTTTTACTGTTTTTGTCACTTGAGAGTTATTATACTTGGAGAGACTTGAGAGTTACTTGAGGGAACGGAAAGCGACTCGCTTGCAGCCCCGCTTCGCTTTCAATAGGACAGCAGGGGTCTGCTGATATTGCTGTACACGGACACACCTTGAATAGAGCAGATGCGATATAGGCATGCCAAGGGAGTATAGCAAAGTAGATGTTTCTAGAAAGGATACATACATACATCAATATATATATATATATATAGGACACAATCAACATGAAAAGGCTGGAATAGAACTGTTGGCGGCTGTGCGGCCATGGCAGGGCCGTGAGTGATCCAAGTTCTGCAAAGCTTTCCTGGCTGCGGTTGAGTGAAAAACATAGAAGCAGCAGCTCCAGGGCTCTCGATTTGCTTTCCAAAGCTGTGAGTGTTTGTGTGTGTGCATCTTCTGTGCTGGATGAGCCTGCTACACATCCGCATTCGGAGCTTCTCAGTGTGTGGTGTCAGCATAGGCTTTGAGGGAGACTGCTTGTGAGCAGTTTCAGCATGGCTTCCCTTGCTCTCCGGGTGAAGAACCGTGTAGTCGCCGATCCTAGCATCGGCCTCTCCGACATCCAAGATGTCATCAAGACGTGTTTGGACGTCGCTGGCGACTACGACCTCCTAAAGTACCTTGGAACACCACCCAACTTGTCGTGGAAGACAGCAGCATGCCCGGATTGGCTGACAAGGTTGCAGCAGCTGTTTACCGGCCTGCTGAAGTTGGCTCCGAACTGCTGCCTCGCCGGCAAGAAGGTCCGTGGAGCGATTGAGAAGATGTGCGAGCCCCCTTCGAAGGTGAACTTCTCCAAGAAGTCCACGGCGGACTTCGTCGACATGTGCGACGAGACCATCCGCATAGGCATGGCCCAGCTTCGCAATCTTCAGGGCAGCGAACTTCTTCGTCAGCGGTGCTTCAAGAAAGCAGACGGCGACCAGATCGCTGTGTTGCAGCGAATGTTGGCGATGATCGAGGTTGAGGACAGCCAGGAAGTCGCTGCCCCCGCCAACGAGACTCCGGCTACTTCCCAAGCTTTGGTGTCAGTGCCTCCCGTACCGCCGTCCTGGAAGCAAGAGGGCACCTCGGGCATGATCCCCAGCACCTTTCAGATGCCAGAGCCCTCGGCCCCTGCTGAGGCACCGATCAACTTGATCATCGACTTTGACTCCGCCGCCGCCGTCTTTGAGAGAATCGCGAACAAGAAGCGGCCTGAGAGCACTCCGCCGTCGATGGAGCTGCCGCCGCGACGGCCTGCGACTGCGAAGGCGATTGCAGGTACGTCTCCAGATGACTGCTTGCTTCAAACCGGCTTAAAGAAGGTTCTCCCGGACTTGTCAGTCAAGGATGCTGCCATCCTCGCGGATTTGGACGAGCAGAAGCCGATCAACGACGGCCACAAGAGCCAGCTTGCGAGGATGAAGGCCTCGTACTTCGACGACCCTTGCTCCTCCAAGGGGCGAGGGCGAGGAGGCCGGGGCCGAGGAGGCCGTGGTCGAGGTCGTGGCAGCAAGGCCGGGATTTCGCCCTGATCTTTTCAAACTTTTATGATTCTTCTTCCTTTGTTCGCCTTCGTTGTTCATTGATTTCAGTCAGTATTGCAGGGCCAGAAGATCGGTAAGAAGAGCAAGGTTGAGGACTCCACGAAGGAGCCGGCTGAGACGGCAGATGGCCCAAAGTCGGAAGTGGCGAAGAACCAGAAGCCCAAGCAGCCGCTCGAGGAGGTGGCTCAGCCGAAGGCAAAGAAGGCGAAGAAGACGAAGAAGATTGCAGTCGAGAAAGAGTCGCTCGACCAGGTGGCTGAGCCGGAGGCGAAGAAGCAGAAGCTGCAGCAGCTCGACACTGAGGTGGCTCAGAGCGAGGCTGAGCAGGACGTGGAGCCCGTTCTTCGGCGAAAGCGGGAGAAAGGCAGGGCCAGCTTTGCAGAGGCCCCTGCCGGCGATGAGATTGAGAAGGCGGAGGCGACGACCGAGAAGCCCAAGGCCTACAAGAGCTCGGAGAGGAAGCGAATTCTGAGTAGAGCCTATCATAAGGCCAGGAATGATGCTGAGAAGCGGGGCCTCGACCCGGAGGCCGCTAAAGAAGAGGCGAAGATTGCCTCTGCTAAGGCTTGTGCTGAGTACGATGCTGAGCACGAGGGGGCCGAGTGAATCTGTGGCATTGCTGTGTGCGAAATATATTTTGGTAAATAGTGTGGCGTAGATGAAAGCACTCCTTGTCAAGTCCTCCTTCTGATCATGTGTTGCAAGGCACACATTGCTGCAGGGCACTGCCGATTTTGATCACCGCTGGCCTCCGCTTTTGAGTTTTAGCAAAGAAAGTTCCCTCGGCTTACGAAGCCTTTAGCTGCTCACGATGCCCTGAGCTATAGATCCATCCTGAGATTTCGACAGCAGCAAGTGCTTGACACGAAGAAATGATTGGGGCCTTCGCTCTTATAGTTTGGCATAGCACACTTTTTTCGATCTTCGCTCTGTTTGGCTGCCGAAGACATTTCTTGGATTGGAGGCTCTGGGCTTGAGCTTTCGGGTTATAGGGGGTTTAGAGTCAAATAGGGCCCCTAAACCCTAAATCCTCATCCCTAAACCCTAAACCCTTCTAGATTGGCATAACACATTTTTTTCGAACTTCGCTCTGTTTAGGGGGCATATGTAGTACACTTTTATGGGTTGGAGGCTCAGGGTTTGGACTTTCGGGGTATTATAAAGGGGGCTCAGAGTTAGGCCTTTCTTTGGGATCTTCGCCTGTACTTCGTGGCATGACACACTTTTTTCGAACCAAGCACGGCTTATAACCAACTGTTTCGGATTGCAGGCTCAGGGTTTGGGGTTTGGGCATTAGGGTTGTAGGGGGGGTTAGGAGTCGACTAGGGCCAAGTTTGGGATCTTCGCAAGGTTGGCATAACACATTTTTTTCGAACTTCCCTCGGTTTAGTGCAGAACAAACTTTGTTGGCTTGGACCCAAAAGGTTTCGGCCTTGGGTTGTTCGGACCCTAAACCCTAAACCCTAAATTAGTGGGTTCAGGGCCAAAAAAGGCTTCTAATTTGGGATCACCACTTACAGTTTGGAAGAGCACATTTTTGGATTGGAGGCTCAAGGTTTGGGCTTTCGGGTTATAAGGGTTTTAAAGTCGAAGAGGGTCTAGTTGGGGTCTTTGCTTATATAGGCTTCGAAGCGCATAATCTTAGGAACACCTTAAAGACCTCGAGCCCCAAAGCTTCAAGCTCAAAGCCGAAACCCTGCCGCTGAAACCTGGCCAACCGTAAAGCCCTCTTTTCTAAGTAAGGTTTAGGAGCCCTGCAGCATTACCACCCACTACCAGACCGTTTATAAGCCTCAGCTTCAACCTCCGCCACAGAACCAAGACCCCTCAAGCAAGACCTTTCAGCAGCCTACGGGCTTTACCCGAAACTCGATCCCTCACGCGGGGGGTGGGGGGGGTCGGGGTTACTTGAGAGCCACGTGAGAGAGTCGTACTTGAGAGAAATTTTCTGTGTGTTTGTGGCCGCTTTTCCGAGATCAGGACTACAACAGATGAAGTTCGTCATTGAGTAGCTGTAGTAGCAGCCGCTTGACTGTGATTTTTCACCATTGCATCCTTCAACTTGTCCATTCTAGGAACAGTGTGTTGATGTAGCACTAGACATAGGATTGTCACACAAGGTCGCATGTAGATTCTAAAGATTCTTCTGTTTGCCCTCGATGGAGTCACGTGTCTACATATCGTCGCTGCCCTGGGCCGTTTCCAAAGCTGCGATAATCAACCTGCTATCAGAGCACAACCTGGTATCGGGACACATACAAGTGGTGAGAAAGGGAAGTTTCCTTCAGAATGGGAGCTTTTGCTCGGCCTTCGTGACTTTCGACAATGCTGACATGGCCGTACGGGCTATCGGACTGCTGGATGGGAGAGTGGACTCTCGATTTGGCCCGGTTGCTTTGAAAGCTGAAATGGCGAGGCCGAAGCCCACGATTCGACCGAGGTCGAGGACACCAGTTCGTGTGCCACAACCAAAAGTGCAGGCGACTTGTGTTGCAAACCCACCTGCTGTAGCCGAGAACAATGACAACACGAACGAGACGACAGCTGCTGTAGCCGAGAACGATGACAACATGAACGAGCCGACCGCTGCTGTAGCCGAGAACGACAACAACGAGGCGACTTTAATGAGCTGACAAAACAGAATTTGCTCATTTATGTGGCCCCGAAGACTACCCTAAACCCTATAAAGCCTATAAAAACCTGAAAACCCTAAAAACCCTAAGCCCTAAATCCTAAATACCCTATTGGCCAGGACGACAAAGCGAACACGCCCCACGATCCGACCACACCTGCTGACGACCCGAAGTCTAGTGGTGACGAGTCTGGTGCTGACAAGCCGCAGAACAAGCCGGACGAGGCGACTTTATAATGATCAGACAGAATAGAATTTCGTCATTTATGTAGTTCAGAAAAACTACCCTAAACCCTATAAGCCCTAAACCCTACACCCTAAGTACCCTATTGGCCAGGACGAGGGGGCGAACACGCCGCACGATCCGACCACACCTGCTGACGACACCGAGGAGTCTAGTGGTGACGAGTCGGGTGGTGACAAGCAGCAGGAGAACAAGCCGAACGAGGCGACTTCAATGATGAGACAAAATAGAATTTCGTCCTTTATGTAGTCCAGAAAAACTATACCCTAAACCCTATAAGCCCTAAACCCTAAATACCCTATTGGCCAGGACGACAAAGCGAACAGGCCGCACGATCGGAGGACGCCTGCTGACGACACCGAGTCTAGTGGCACCGAGTCGGGTGGTGACACGCCGCAGAACAAGCCGGACCAGGCGACTTTAATGATCAGCTAAAATAGACTTTGGTCATCTTGGTAGCCCAGAAAAAGTACCCTAAACCCTACAAACCCTAAACCCTACATACCCAATTGGTCAGGACGAGGAGTTGGTGGTGGATGAGAGGTCTCCGACGTCGCCGGCAGATGAAGTGATCCGCAAGTATTTGTTAGGTGTGGCACAGCAGAGCTCAGACTCGGAGAGTGTTTGAGTATCGCCACTAAACGGCATTTCAGCACCCTAAACCCTAAACCCTTCATAGCCCTAAATCTTCAGCACCCTGTTCAGCCCAGGGTCTTGGGCCTGCTTTGTTTGCATGTGACAACTTAGGCCTCTTGCTGTGTTCAGTTTCAGAGGGCTTGCTCAATTCCATTTCAAGCCGGGTTCAGGGTTTCCATGTTCGGGATGATACCAGATACAGAGCGAACTCCGAGGATGTGCATGGAAGGTTGCCAGGCACAAAGCACAGGCTCTCTCGTGTAGCTGTTTGGAAGCCCAAAACTATTCTCTGCTATCTAGCACCTCTATTTCAGGATTGTGAAACTGTGCCAACCCGAAGCCCCAAACCGCACACCTCGTACCCCAAACCCCCTAGCCCCAAACCTAAACCCAACAAACACTATATTGCTATACTAGTACAACTGCTACTATAGTGCAAGTGTACCAGCCAGCCTGGAGAAAGGATGCACATGAGAGGCTTTTTGCAGGGGGCACCACCTGTGCCTTAAGGGCACGACCTGAGAGGACCAGCTTTCACACGGAGAGGTGAAAATCAGGTGAGCCGGAGCGAGTTCGTCTGCCACATGGAGGAGGAACAGGGTTTTTCGGATTCGGGGTCCAGGTTCTGAGTTTCGGTAGACACAAGGAAAACTGTTTTCGGGACAAGCAAGCTTCGAAGGAGTGTGGGGGAATTTTCGTCTAAAGTTCCAGGTAGAAAGGGATAAGCTTTGTGGAAGTTTGGTGTTAGTTTTGGAGAAACTTCCACAGGGGGGCCAGGAACTTTAGTAGAAGTTTAATGGAAACTTCCACTAGGGGCCAGGAACTTTGGTAGAAGTTTAATGGAAACTTCCACTAGGGGCCAGGAACTTTAGTAGAAGTTTAATGGAAACTTCCACTAGGGACAAGGCAGTTTAGTAGAAGTTTAATGGAAACTTCCACTAGGAATCGAGGCAGTTTAGTAGAAGTTTAGTAGAAACTTCCACTCACAATCGGAAGTTTTAGTAGAAGTTTATTAGGTGCTGTGTGGAAGTTTCAAGCATGGTTGTGTGCAAAAACCCAGGTAAAATAACAAATCCAGATCCAAACTTCTACCAAAGTGCAAATAAACTTCCCACAAAGTGCCAACAAACTGCCACCAAACTTCACCATTGTCTAGTGGAAGTTTCCATGAAACTTCCACTAAACTGCCACACTATGCAGAGGAAGTTTCCACTAAACTTCCACCAAAGTGACACCTAGCCAAAGGAAGTTTCCACTAAACTTCCACCAAAGTGACACCTAGCCAAAGGAAGTTTCCATGAAACTTCCACCAAAGTGACACCTAGCCAAAGGAAGTTTCCATGAAACTTCTACCAAAATGACAGATAGGCAGAGGAAGTTTCATGGAAACTTCTGCTAAACATACCCGATAGCTACTGGAAGTTTCTTCGAAACTTCTGTCAAACTTCCCCAGTAGCTAGAGGACGTCTTCTCCAAACCAAAGCACCCAAGCACCAGCCCAAAGAAACCTAAGCCTTAAATCCGCTTTCTCCAAGCCAAAGCAGCCAAACCCAGCCCAAAGAAACCCAAGCCTTATATCCACCCAAACCCCAGCCTAAAGAAACCTAAGCCTTAAATCCTCCCAAACCCCAGCCCAAAGAAACCTAAGCCTTATAAATCCTCCCAAACCCCAGCCCCAAGAAACCTAAGCTTTATATCCCCGAAACCCTACAAACCCGGGGGTGGGGACACCTGAGAGCCACTTGAGAGAATCGTGCTTCAGAGAGGGATCGTGCTTCAGGGAGGGAAAGTCTGCCAGCCCAAAGAAACCTAAGCTTTATATCCCCAAAACCCTACAAACCCGGGGGTGGGGACACCTGAGAGCCACTTGAGAGAATCGTGCTTCAGGGAGGGAAAGTCTGAGAAACTAAAGCCATGTTGTTATAATTTGAGCCAGCCTGATCTTATAGGATCCCCAAACTCCCTGTAGGTTGCATATCATGTTGAGTTTTCTCCTCCGCCAATCTTGTTTTATTAGAAGTTTTTTGCAATAGCTGTAGCAACTTCTAGTGCCCTTGCCGCTTAGCTTTGGTGTCCGGGCGACAGGATGCCAGCATTGTCCAAGATGGCCAAGACGGTCCTTAAGAAGCCAGCAGCTTCCGGCTCCCTCAAGAAGCCGGCTGCTGTCGGGTCCATCAACCAGTCCATCGTGGACATGAAGCAGGCGGCCAAGATGAAGACGGGCGACGAGGACGAGTCCGAGCAGGACTGCGAAGACGGTGAAGACATTCACCGGGACAAGGGCAAGAGTATCAAGTACAGGAAAATGAGGGATTCCTTGCCAGAGTTTGTCGTAGATCTGGTGGAAAACCAGGCCCACAAAGCCGCGAGCCCAAGAGCATTCCAGACGGAGTGCATCAACAAGATGTTCAAACGCAACAAGAGTGGCAAGCTGGAACTCACTTTGGACAGTGGCATCTTTCAGCAGCACAAAAAGCTGTACAAGGAGAAGTTCCAGAAAGACGAATCGATCGCATACCCGGAATCCATCATTAAGGGCATGTTTTTTGGCGGCAGCGACGCCAAGTTCGAGGCAGCCCTTGCCAAGAAGGAAATCAAGCAGGTGGAGAGCGAAGATGCCGATGATGAGGCGAGGTACTTCGCATTCCGCACCATGAAGGTTGGTACCAAGCGAGGCTTCCAGGATGAGCACCAGATCGGCGGCCACAAGAAGGTGGACAAGGACACTGCCGAGGTTCTGAAGGAAGCCCTGCAAAGTGTGGGGTGGTACTTCAAGTACAGCAACAAGGATGCTATGGATTTCGCGAACGGCAAGAGGATCCCGGAGAACATCAAGAAAGTGTTGGAGAATTCCTTGCTTTCGCAGGAGAAGCTGGCCAAGGAAGGTTTGGACCTGACGAAATCTTGGTCTTTCGGGGACTCGCCCGAGTTTCGCCAGCTCAAGAAGGGCTGCAGCTTGTGCAAGACCTATGCCACCAAGATCCAGCACATCATCGAGTTCCGCGAGCTCCCGGATGAGCAAGAAATGAACAAGGAGAACTTTGATGCTCTGCTGGTTGAGATGGCAAAGCACACGGAGGCCTACAACGGCTTGGTTGAGTCGTGCAAGGGCCGTCTCAATTCTCGCAGCAACTGAGAGATGTAAAGCTGTGATCTTTAAAGGCATCTTACAGCATGCCATCTCCTTTTCAGGGCCACGTTTTGTTTTCCAGGTGATGGTCCAAAACTTTTGCCTCTGGGGCTCACTCCAGGTGATTCCGCCGAAAACCGAGCAAGTTCACGCACAGTGTCGAAAAACTATGGCTTCGTGTGCTGAAGGTAAGGCTACAACGAGTTTAAAGCCAAAGAGGGCTTAGTTTGGGATCTTCGCTTAGACTTTGCGATAGCACACTTTTTTCGAACTTCGCTCTGTTTAGGGGCATAACAGACTTGTTTGGATTGGAGGCTCTGGGTTTGGGCTTTCGGGTTATAGGGGGTTTAGAGTCAAATAGGGCCCCTAAACCCTAAACCCTCATCCCTAAACCCTAAACCCTTCTAGATTGGCATAACACATTTTTTTCGAACTTCGCTCTGTTTAGGGGGCATATATAATAGACTTTTGTGGGTTGGAGGACTCAGGGTTTGGACTTTCCGGGTATTAAAGGGGGCTTATAGAGTCAAATAGGCCTTAGTTTGGGATCTTCGCTTAGACTTTGCGATAGCACACTTTTTTCGAACTTCGCTGTGTTTGGGGGCAGAACAGACTTGTTTGGATTGGAGGCTCTGGGTTTGGGCTTTCCGGTTATAGGGGGGTTTATAGTCAAATAAATAGGCCCCTAAGCCCTAAACCCTCATCCCTAAACCCTAAACCCTTGTAGATTGGCATAACACATTTTTTTCGAACTTCGCTCTGTTTAGGGGGCATATGTAATACACTTTTATGGGTTGGAGGCTCAGGGTTTGGACTTTCGGGGTATTATAAAGGGGGCAAAGAGGCAAATACCCAAGCCCGCGAACACCAAGACAACAACGAAGCCTCTCTGTAGACAAAGTACCAACCAATACTTTCTTCGTGTGGCCACACTGCAGACCCAATACCAGAGTCCAAATCATTATACTGTACACACGAGCTCTTCTTATAACACCTCAGCCTTGAACTTGGGGCCCCAGAGCTTCCCGCATCGCCGTGGTTACAGCTTTGGAAATGGTGTGGTGTTTGACCTTCTAGCACAGACTGTTGTGGTGTTTCAAAGTCTTTGCATCGAGATGAATAATCTTCGGGCTTTTTTTGCAGCTGCATCTCGAAGGCTCTGACGAGCAGGAGTTTCTTAGGTCCCTCAGGTCCCTCAAGTCCCTCAAGTCCCTCAAGTCCCTGAAGTGAAACTCTCTCAAGTGAAACTCTCTCAAGTGAAACTCTCTCAAGTGAAACTCTCTCTCAAGTGTCCCTTGCTGTCGTGTCGGCACAGGATGAAGAGTCTGAGAGTTGGGCCCCACAGGAGCAAGAAACCGCAGTAACACCATGAAGTTGCAGTTTAGGGGCGAAAGCATCAAGATATAAGGGTTCAGCACTATTATAGAAGTAAAAAGCCTAATAGGGTATTTAGGGATTTCGAGTTTAGGATGGGCGGTTACACCCAAATCCATGCCTTAGTATATAAGGGTCCTTCCCAAAGCATTCCTCACATGCCGCCGAAGCATAAGCGATCTCGCTCTCGCTTTGGTGGTCTCCGTCAAAGACGGAAGCAGGCCAAAGTGGAGGAGCAGACACAGATCATGGGGCATTCAGTTTTAGCATCATTCCTTCTACAGCTCTTCGCCTGGGGCGAAATGTCTGCACAGCGACTGCAGAAGCTCGCAAGTCTCGCCATGGAAGACATTGAGGCCTGCATGAATGGAACTGAGCATCTTCAAGATTTGAGGAACATGGCCAAGATTGGCACCCACGGCCATCATCAAAACAAATGCTATGCCGACCTCATGAGGCAATGCCTGGATATATCGATTCCACGACCTTTTGTCGCAACAATTCCATTTGTGAAGCCCTTGAATGATCAGTTTCAATCCCTGCTTTTACCCCACGAGCTTTTCAGTGCCATATACCATTCCTATAAAGGTGCCTGGAGGCAAAGCATATATGGAAGTGCCGATTCCGTTCGCAGGTTTTGGGAAGCCCAAGAATCTCATCCCCAGATGGTTGGCCACCCAGTTTCTTTCAAGCCGAACAGGTTTACTTTGGCAATACCTATATCAATGCACGGAGATGATGTCCCCGTGACGGGGGTTGGGAAGGCTTGGACAGGTAAACTGACCCAGTGGTGCTGGGCAAGCCTTCTGGGCCGTGGTGGCACAAGCGAGGTTCTTTTTTGGGTTTATGGCTTGTTCGAGCGACTCCGAGCCCCCCTCGAAGCTGGAAGGGAGAGTACACTTCACAGCTTTTTTCGAATTCTCCGATGGTCTTTTCATTGGCTGTTCAAGGGGGTCTTTCCGGACAGAGACCACAACGGAGTTAAGCCACACACAACTACTTTAGTACAGTTTTCGTTTTTTTTTGGGTCAGTTGATGTGTATTGGGTATAGTAGTATATGTTTGGCTATTCCAAGAGCCCAGGTACTCCAAGGACTCGGTCCAAGGCAAGAAAGCCTTGACTTTCTTAGCCGATGGATTTTATGGTGTGCTCTGGACGATTATCGGTGATTTAGATTATTTTGCGGCCACTCTTCAGTTACCGAGGTTCTCGCTGATGTCGGGGCCTTGTCCCCTGTGCAGGTGCACAGGGCACGGCGATCGCAGCTGGACTGTTTTTGGACCCAATGCCGAATGGCGAAAGCACATGTGGACAACAGCCGACTGGTTGAAGTGGGATGCAAGGTCACCCTGTCCTTTGTTTGCTGGCGAGGGCGGGATCACCGCTTTGGCAGTGGGCCTGGATTGGCTCCATTGTAAATATTTGGGAACAGATATGCACATGTACGGTTCCATTCTCAAGCTTTTGTGTTTCTTTATATTACCTTCTTCAGCGATCAACAACTTGCAAACAGTGTGGGGGGACATCAAGTCTTTCTACAAGGAGCTCGGGACTCCTGTGCGGTACAAATACATTACAAAGTTGTCTATGTTTATACCAGCCAAAAGCCCGTATCCGAAGCTTCGTGGAAAGGGGGCCGAGGTCAAGTATCTCTCCGAGGTGATGCTCAAGCTGTGGCAGAAATACTTGAACCCACATCTTCGAGTTCACAAACAAATCGAGCTGATGCTACGTCTGAATGCTGCCGTCGAACAGACAATCATCGATTATCGTGAAGCCCTTTTCTTCCCGGCTGCAGTGGCAGCAACCTTCGCGACACAAGTTGAAAAGTACCTACTGCTGCTGACGGCGGTTGCCGAGCATTACTTGGAAGAGCGACTCTTCGACATCACATCAAAGGCCCACTTCGTCCAACACTGTGCTCTACAATCCCACACCCTCTCCCCCAGAGCTATCTGGTGTTTTATGGGGGAGGACATGCAAAAAAAGATGCAAACATTGGCGAAGGCATGTGTAAAGGGCCAAGGGCCCGTGCAAGCAACTCGAAAAGTTGCACAGCAGTACCGATTGGCCTTGCACTTGCAGCTGTCGCAGCTGGATGACTGAAAAAGAACGGACGAGTTTACAGTTTTGCCGGCTATTTGAGACCTTTTGTTTGTGCAGTTATTCGTATATAGTTTCATGTTTATTTACAGATATGGGGTGCCATTTGTATATATCTGTATATACATACATACAGATAGATAGATAGGTGCCTTCATGGCTCATCTTGCTCATTCTGGGTGTTCTCTTTGACTTGGGGTGACTTCCAGCTTCTACTTTTTCGGTTTCGTGCAGCAGAACCCAAACCCCGAATCTGCAGCTCCAATACCGGTATCGTTCTTGCAATCCTAAACCCCCAAAGCCCAGAGCAAGCCGTTTGCAGTTTATGCAACCCTTGAAGGTCTCAAACTTGGTCCGAAACAAGCCCAAGTACTGAAGCCCATCCGTGTCAAGCCCCCGAAAACAATCGTATCTAGGCCCGAAACATAGCCCAACCCCCCACGAAGCAGTCTTATCCAGCCCGAAAACAAAGCCATTCTGTTTCAACAGCCCCCAAAACACCTTCATCCAACCCAAAACAACAGATAGCCTCCATGTGTAACAGGGACAAAGAGAACAGACATGATTGCAAGCAAGGAGAAAGCAGAGATACCACCTGAGAGTCACATGAGAGGTATACCCACTTTGGAGGGCAGTGTTCCGAAGCCAAATTTCGAAGCACTTTGAAGGAAGTTTGAGAGGAAGTTTGGTGGAAGTTTAAAACAAACTGCTTCAAAACTTCCACCGGCGCCAGAGGAAGTTTCCTGGAAACTTCCTCTCCGGAATTTTGACTTCGGCCTGCTCATTTTAAGTTTGGCGGCAAATTTTGCCCGCAGCGGCAAACCGAAGTTTTACTACGAAGTTAAAATTTTAACTTTGCAAGTTGACTTCGAAGGCAAAGTTAAAACAGGCAAAGTTAAAATTTTTAACTTTGGATACGAAGTCAATTTTCTGACTTGTTTGGTCTATTGGGCACTCTGGGGATCCTCGCTGAAGCGTCGCAGCACCTGCAACCAGTCAGCGTGCGTGGCTCGGACTTTGACATCTGGAGACCAGGAGCAGCAAATCTTCAGAATGTCGTACTTGCCACACGATTGGACCGCGCACTGGCACGACAGGCCGCGTGCTTCCAGCTTCCGCACCATGAGGCCTGGTAGAGTCGTCAGGTTCATGTCGTTGATGTAACCGACACGCACCTCCCCCTTATATTGCGAAGCACAGGCGGCCTTCCGCAGACCCTTCCAAATTTCTTCTTCACGCGCCTGGTACCAATTCTCGAAGGGATCTCGACTGATGCTTTGCAACTCCAATGCCCAGTTCGGCCTCGTTGTCTCCATGGCTGCGACGGCTATGACAGTGCTACAAACACACGTAGTTTGGACTCCAGCGTCTAGGCGTTAAACGGTTCAGGTCGACTGCCGGAAGGCTCCAAAGTCATGCTTTGAACGATGTTTGATACATACGAGAGTATCGAGTCTACGAAGTCCTCGTACGTACACGAGCACTCTCGTATGTATACGAGAGTCTTCGTATATTTTAAAGCATGCAGAGGCATGTGCTTATGCATGCAAGCGGATTGCAATTGGTGGCGTGGGTCGGGCGGATGGGTTCTGTGGGTTGCCATTGTTGTGGCTGAGTTGGCTGGGAGGCCTGGGCTAAGTAAATCCATGGGTGGATATGGCTGGCTGCATGACTGTGCGCCATGGTGCTTAGAACCGAAGGAAACGATGGCGTTGCCGACGCAAGTGCAATGGAGATTGAAACGCCAATTTGGGATGCTGGCGTTCGCGCTCCCAACGCCAC